TGCTGGCATCCTTTGACACTTGCCTTTTTCCATATACATTAGAGCATACTATATTCCCAGAAGGAAAGTTAAAGGAAAGAAATATGAAGGACAAGCATTTTTCCAGGATCACTTTACTGGAAATTTTAGAGCTTCTGTTAGCTTCTAAGAAAGAAGATTATTGTTTTACACGTAAATGGAAAGGTTTTAAAACTGATTTTACTTTGAAATGTAACTTCAGAAGGATAACATTCCAGAGGTACTTCAGAATCTGCTCTGTTGAGTGACACCAGCAAGTTTCTTTTCCACTTGAGTTTGAGAAGTGAAGAAAGCTAAAGAAAAAACAGGCAACCTTACAAGGCATAAAAGGAATTATCAACTAACTACTAGCTGCAGGGTAAACACTGGAATATCTACGTCCAGGCACACACAAAATGTTTCTAACTGTCATGGAGATGCCCCAGTACACGCAGTGTTGATTGCTTCCAGACAATATGCCTCTGCTGCCTAGGTGGTGGGTGACTATATTCCACGCAAGTCCCCGCAGAGGTAAAATTCAAGCAGACCAATTCTTGTTGTTGGAAATCACCCACAAAGACTTCAGACTGAGGCAGATTTACTGACCCAATCTTTAAATACTATATCGAGAAATGCAAGTGGGGAAAGTACGTAAGGGAATTTCACTCAGAAATAAAAGGATATGAAAGTTATTACACTCCAAATTAACTGGATCTCTGTTCCAATACAAGAACATTGGCAGATAACTTCATCTAAGCACCAATAAATTGCTTTCTTAAATAACTATTCTGGGCTGTGAAAACAAAGCCAGTATATACCCAGCACTTGTGATTTTTTGCTTGCATCACTCTTTGTAGTCTTGAGTGAACCTTGAAATACTTTTAACAATACAAGCCAAGATCATCAATTAAACACAGGACTAAGGGGATAATTTGTGACTGAGCTTTAGGGTGACAATCACAGACTTAATCTTTGTGAAAACTTGCTCTGCACTAACAGTATCTCACATGTTGAAACAAAAGGCAGTTTCCAGAGTGTCAGAAGAGGGAGTTTCAGTTACCTCCTTCAGGTTTCCAGTTCACCTACTTTGCCATATTTTTGATGTTTCCAGAATAGATAACTGGGATTCCTGCCTTGAGGGATAAGGGAATGCCATTTTCCCGTCCTTTAAGAGCCAGTGCAGGTGCAACAGACGGGAACTGTAGCAACGTGCAAAGGCTGATTAAAGAAAATGCCTGAAACGATCTCAAGTTGTACAAACCCCTGCTCGGAGATGATTCTCACAGCTATTTTCAGATTTTTCATTATTACATATTCACAGCCACCAGCAAAAACCAGGAGGTTTTATTCCTCTGCATCATCCCAATCAACGCTGCTTCTCCTACCCATGTCAGGAAGGATTAAAGTAAGCAGGTTCCCCATAGCCTTTAGTTTCATTGCCTATATTCAGTTAAGATTTTCCTCAGCCTCAAGGTGGGATACAAATTCTTCTGACTGTAGAGTTTGCTCCCACATCCTAATACTCCTCCTGGACCCAAATTCTTAAAGTACATTTCCCCCCCTCCCCCCCCGGCCCATTTCTTTCATTTCCTTGTCACTTCCTTTACGGAAAACTCAGAAGTATCAATTTTTCTACTTGGAAAATCATTCTTGTGGCTTATAGAATTTTCCTAAGATCTCACTTGCAAGTGAGATCCCCTCAATACTCATCACTTGGGTAGTCTGGAAGGAAGAAGAGGAGCCAAAATGCTGGAGTGAAACGAGGGTATTCATGCAATGGGTGAGAAAGACTATGAAGTGTGTTCCTCAGTAGTTATTACCATACCATCCACCCAAGTAACAATGGAGCTCTGTTAAAACGTGTGGGGACCTACTGGCTGAATACAGGAGTCCAGAAACATCTGCTCCACTCCTATTTGGAAATAAAAGATAATGTGACAATAAAAGCTATATGATTTAATGCCTGAGCTCAGTGAAACCTCGCCATATTGCTTGACTGCCTTTCCCCTCCTTCCCCCAGTGAGGCTACATAAGTGAATCAACAGAGCAAAGACAGATGTACAAGTACTTGAGAAATGCACAAATACAAGCCAAACATCCTAAACTGTGCTGGAATTTTAGGCATTGATTACCATCCACAGGAATACTATAAATCTGTAAATCTGACCTTTCCTATATGCGTTGGTCCCACACGCCACTCAGGTAGCACCAGACAGGAAGAGGAGCTATTCAAGTGAATGGCCTCTTCCACTGGTTTTTATTCACAGCAGGGTAGGAGAGTTCTCTGTTTTTGGTGAATCTCACCTGATGATAGATAAACCAGAGGCGGAAGAACAGAGAACTTCTTAATCACAGTGAAAGCTGAAAGAACAGACTCTTTATAGCCAGCTTTGCGCGCAGAACTTGTTCTTGCAATCCACAGGAAATTCAGGAATGAATCCCATTTGAACCTTGTCCATACTGGTAAATAAATGGGATTTTTTTTGGTTGTTGTTCTGTTGAACTTCATGTGAACTTATTAATTGCTGGACTATATCGTCCCACTGAGTTATTACATTTACACTGTGTTAATAGGTTCTATTAATGTCTGAGTTCATCTTCAGGTCATGGGTCATTAACTGAGGCATGGTTTGCATTGTGGCCTATTTTTCATGAAAGGCTTATTAAGAAAGACAGAGACTATCAATGTTAATGCCATTTACTTTTCAAGAATCTAATGAGGTCATTAGTTTCCGTGTTTAATTGAAGTGCCAAACGTAAGCATAGAAGATAAAAATGCAGTTGACCTCATCTTCATTTCAGTTGGGCAAGAATATATTACACTATTCCTCTCTCTTGCCTATTTTAGGACATTTTTGCAGGAAATGAAGCAGGCATTCCTGTGCTCATTAGTGCTACGAGAGCCATGCCCCAGAGTACCTCTGAAACAACCAAATATGTGCTTCAGACCAAGTGCCTGTTCTCCTTCACCTAGATGACACTGGAAGCTTCTAGTGCCTGAAACCAGATGGTTTCAATAGATGATGTAATTTTGGTTATTTCTGCAGAACAAGCTCTTACAATATTACACTTGCTCTGACTACGCAGCATATGAAATTACTGCGAGTCTTCTAAGTACACTTCATGTTTTCTGCATAAAAGGGAATTGCCTTATTTTCTGCATGTATTAAATTTCTCTTGACCAAAAGCTTTTAAACTGTGGCAAAGATCAGCTGTCTGCCCCAACTGCCTGTCTTCATGAGCAGTACTACCTAAAGACAAGTAGAACACATTATTGCTCATGTTGTTCCAAGCTGACTTTCATCTTGCAATGAGGTACATTGTTTTATACACAGTTCCTTTTTCTCCCCTTGGCAAGATAAAAATCTATGAATTTTACAATGTTTTTATCATACACCAAACTTTCCTTTTATAGTACTTCACACTATAAAGCCAGCTCTGATATTGTATCAAATCAGTGTAATGTACAGCACAAAGTACACACAGCCCTAGGATACAAGCTGTAATGTCAGATAAAATGATTTAGATCTAAGAGATACAATATGTGGGATTGTGTGTTGTAAATTCCTGGCTGAAGAGAAGTTTCTCAAAACTTATATTGCTCATTCCCACTGAGCAGGTATCTGCGATAGACTTTAGATGAAATTACAATGAGAATGGTTATATTTCTGTATGCACCTAATGAAATCTAAATATAGACACTGCACTTCATCCAGATTCTGTCACACACCCAAAACATTTAATAACGTGGTCTGATGCCTCCAGGGTAAGGAAGAATGCAAATAACATTTCGTTTCCTGCTTCGCAGATACTTTCACCTCTAGGTATTTGTTCCAGAAGGATACTAATCATAGGAAATGACCTAAAATCATTAGCGTTGACAATTATACATACTGAATAAAAAGAACTAAATGTTGCTTGCCAAGCAGTTTTATATATATTTTAGGAAGTCTGAAAATGAAAAACTCAGGCACTTTTCCCCCTGAACAGTAATGAAAGACACTCAAAATCAGCCCATAATAGGCTACAACCAACTGTTGTCTTTGCTGAAAGGATTGAATCATGTACCTTTTCTATAAACAAGTCCTATTGACAACTGTATTATTTTAAGATTGAAACTAGGCATAAACTGATACTATAAATAAATAAATAATCAAGTTTCCTATAAGCATCACTTTGATTTCGGACAAGATATTAATCTAGGTGGTGATTCAGTATTTCCTAATCCAGGTCTCCATCAACTCTGAAAATACGAAGACAACATAGACCAATGGCAAAAGGCAAAATGCCACAGAAAACTGCTCAAACAAAACACATCATAAAAAGACTTCTGGAAAAGGCAGAAGATGCATTAAATAAGGTGGGGTGACCAAAAAGCAAATTAGGAAAGACCAGATATAAATTATCAACTTCAACCTTTGTGATGAGCTCATTAATTCCTTTTTGCTCAGTGCTCACCTCAGCCTTCAGAAACAAACACTGGCCAACCCTGCTTGACTTTAGGCAACAAACAGGGACAGGCCAACAAAAAGAGATGTTACACAACCTTGTATTGAAAGTGTGCACAAAATGCTATTAGCAGTAGTGCCAGCACAAAGGCAAGAGGAAGAATGGCTGTCCTGACTTCTTAGAATGAGACAAGAAACGCGCCAATTTGGACATCCAAGCTGCACATCTGAAACAGCTTACAGTATTTCCACATTCTCGCAGTATGTTGTAATTCAGGGTGCTTGTGCCACACAACCTTGTAGATCTGAATAAGCAACAGCTTGCAGTAAATTCAAAACAAACTCATTTCCAAGAGTAAGATGTTTTCCCACAGACACATGCAACAGGCTTCCAAGAGTTCGAGCATCCCATGATGCGTGGCTGAAAAGTTTGGAACTAACTGCCAAAATCATCACACACCAAAAGGGGAAAGAAAGCCCCTTACATTTAAGCACCAATAAAGAGAAAAATAATTCGCTTCATGTTTGTCTGCAAAATCCAAACAGTATCTTCCATTTGCTTGGAATGACTGTTTCAGACTTTAATGATTTTATATACATATGTGGTATTTATGCATACTATGGTATTTACAGTAATACAATATCATAATATACAACTAAAATGCACACCAAAATGTTTAGTTTCACTAGTCAGTTCTACAGAGCCATACAAACAGGACTGAAAACTGTATTTATATCATTAGTAAGAAAACAGTTCACTTAATTACCACTGTGATTCTGGAATGGGACTCCTAAAGAGCAGTAAAACTTGTATAATTTTTCACCAGTGTCATTGCATAAGAGAAAGAAACAACTTTGGCTCAGCCTGCAGGACATCTGATCACAACAAACACCTCTGATGGGTGAAATGAGCATGTACTGGAACCAGCAATCCACAATTTAACATGTTCTGTAAGCACTGTAAAAGCAGGCATCCGCTTACAAGGAAGCACCTGAGATAATTACTCCTAAACATCCTCAGGTGTATTTCAAACCTCCTTATCTGATTTAGATGGTTTAGACCTTTTAAAATAGGAAAATAATATATGTAAATGCAGCACATTATCAGATTAAAGGTTTATGCTTGTTTGGTTATTTTTCAAAAGGAGGTTTCTGTTAGTACTGCAAGTTTCTGTTTACCTCTTTCAAATTGAGACAGTTCACTTTGAAATTAAGCTACAAAATTATGTAATGGTTTTTTACACTATGGTTCACATGGCAAAAAATAGGAGAATCAAACCCCTGCACATTAAAAATCCCAATAAAATTTCACCACTAGGATATATTTCAAACACGTTCTTGCAATTGTGTTCGAAGTACTGAAGAAGTTACTGCTTTCACTGCTTGCTTTTGCCATGTGCCGCAGATGAGACACATAATCAGACAAAGTATTCTTAATCTGCTTTGAGGGTAAGAAACTCAGATGCTTTAGATAACCAGAAAGGGTACTCAAGGCAGATTCCGGGATCTCACGTGCTCAGCTACAGAGTCTCAGCTGAAGGAATGGTAACTGGAAGTGGAGAAAACACTAGTGCTGTAATGCAGTTCCAAAAATGCTTCATGGCTCTTACGGTATCTATTGTGAAATTATCTCCAGAACAGTTGCAAAGATGAGACAACAACTTAGCATGTTTGTCCAATGTTAACATGTCAAATGCTAACTCTATCCCTGCCTCAGGACATCATTAACCCGGGTACGCTGACAGCATGTGGGCAACAGCATCTGCACCAAAGACTGCAGTTCAGCATTTCAATTCCAGCATTACAGTATGTTACTCAAAAGCAAATTACAGCGACACCACCTTACACTGAAGAGGATACTACCAAAATATTAAGTCATGCTTGTTTTTTAGCCTCATTTTAAAAAACTAACCAGTAATTAAACTCAACCAGGTAATTATTTTGCCATGTGTTGTCTTGAAGAGATTAAGCATCTTTACTACCAATCATCCGAGATGAAGCTAAGTTTTAAGTTCTACCAAAGAAAAATGCAACTTACTCTAGGACGGAGTGAGTGGCAGCCTGTGGATGGTAACGGTACAGCAGGAGGCAGTGGTTTACTCGAAAGACTTCACCACCGTTTTGGATATGTTTGTAGAAAAACAACAGGTCTTCTGGAACACCCTGGAAGAGAAGCAGTTACTTCAGACTAGGAAGTGATCGGTATTCATGCTTACATTTGAAGACACTTCTTTTTCTGCCACATGAATAAAGTTTAACATTGTGTTTTATTCATATGATTTCTGCATGCCTCCATGAAATTGTCTAATGGGTCATTAAATAAACATATCTGTAGAAAAGATAAAGCTATTGAAAAAGCAAGTAGTGCTATTTAAAAATTAAGTACAGCTGACCACAAGGACAGAGGTGGAAAAATAAACACCATCTCATTTTGACAGGAGTATAAAGCTTGGTACAGGTTAGTCTCAAAAGAGAGAAACCAGCTGCTGAACAGTTCATGAAGCCTCGAGTGCCATGTAACCAAATAGCTCACTTGAAAGGGATCAGTGACTTCAGAAGAGTGCTTTTTCATGTTACTAATGTTCTTTCTCTAATTGCCATACAAATACATACACTGGACTCTACCTAGGAAAGGTGAATCAGACCCCATAATAAGGAACCTTAATGAAAACCTTAATTAAAGCAACCTTCGAATGAGGCAACGTCTGAAAGCAAAACTTTGTTCTTCCATGGTACATCCTTCCTAATGGGATTGCAAGGATTGCTGCTGAGACACTGCAAAAAAACCCCCAACCAACCCATAATTTCCTAGAATTGTGGATCTGGCTCCAGTAAGAGATTTCATGATGAGATGCAACATTTCCCACCTAAAAATCAGAAAGTCTTCATGCCAGAGACAGAGTCTCAGATGGCAGATCTTATGGCCCACACTATTCAGTTACTCATCATAAGCATAAACCCACCTTTAAAGATACAGCCCTATAATGGAAGTAACGTAGTAGCATCTTCTTTGTAATAGTGAAACTTCTTGAAATATGGCTAGAACTTTTAATTTTTCTATGTTTAAATACAGATTTTTCTTTCCTCCAACCTAACATGATTTTACCAGGCTAAAAATCTCTGCTATGTAAACCCAGGTGTGCCAAATAAAATATTTAATGTAGCATCAGTAACAAGCTGAAAGATAACATGAGAAAGTTGAGAAGGAAAAGATACTCAAATACATTTTCCTGTAGGCAGTATCACATACATGAATAACAGAGGCATAAACCTCAACTTTAGGTATTCTACATCAACATAGAAAAGTAAGAGCACAAGTTAAACACAAATAAATAAATAAACAAAAAATTAGCTTTTTTTCTCCCCCATTACCACAGCTTCTGAGTTTCTTCCATAATTAAGAAAAGGAGAGTCTCCAATTAAAATGCAAAATCCCTCTGTGGTTTCTTCTGGCTTTCTAGTTACAAGAGCAATACAGTTCAAGACTGTTCCTCATACCCACCAGACTGAGCAGCCAAAGGAGTGTGGGGAAGGGAAGAGTAATGAGACCAAAAAAGCTTCGAACCCTGGAAAACAAATCTGAAACACTCAACTGAACATATGTATTTGGGGAGAAATCAGAACCAAATCAAGCCCTGTATTTTGCAGCTCCAGACTTCACTACATGATAGATTGATTTAAGATACTGAACTGGGCCATGTTCCCAGATTCTGAATAACATGGATCCTGATCTGGCTCCTTGCTAAGGGCAGGGTATCTGTAGCTGTCAGTTGTCTTTGTAGATACTGGTCTGACTTCTTGATTAAGAGCTGCAATGCAGAAGCAAACTTTTGGAGAACCTCATAAAACTCATGCTTTCTATGAGCCTACTTGGAAAGCCACAGAAGAAATCTGGGGGAAGCTGGAGTAGCAGACAGAAACCATAGTCATCAAGAATATAAGAACTCCATAAGCTCAAATTCTTTCCATTTATCTTGTAGCCTTTTCTTATTGTGGTCTTTTTCTTATTCTGGACTTTAATGGAAATACTGAGAGTCTGCAGCAAAGTTTAAACCTTTTTCTCTCTTTCAGTCACACACTAGACTGTGACAGGCAAGGCACAAATTCTGTAGCACATAACTACTGCAGTAGTCATATTCTGATTCAGATATATTATTATATCACATCCATATTTGCAATTCTTTTTTTTTTAAATTAACAATTATATTAATAAAGAGAGTTACAGCAGAACTAAAAAGACCTTTCAAGATGCTGTTTGGTTCCGAGTGCACTTTTGCTTTACATCAGCCAGCAGAAATCCTTTGAAATGAAGTCTGCTTGCCCCCAGGAAGGAGCAGGTGCCTTGTACTGCTCAGCAGTGGCCTCTCACATTACAAAGGAGCAGCCCTGCCATGCATTTTTCAGGGAGGGAAGATGTTGACTGTGCTACAGATCCTGCAGGGATGGGACTTCCTACAGCTCTTGAGTGTGTAAGTTTGTTGCGGTACAAGAGTTTCTTCCCAATTGAGACGTATTATTGGATCCAGATGGCATTTTAAACACCAGGAATCTTTTCCAAACACCACAATTTTCAAAGAAAAAGCTGTTTAGCCACTAAAGGGATATTTTAATGTATTTTGGGAAAATTAATATCCATAACTGAAAATACCAATTTAACGAGCCAGCATTTCAGCAACAGGCTACTACACGAACAGTTTCAACATTAATAAATACAATGAAATTGCACAGTTTACATGTTACTGACTATATACAGAATTTTCCACATTACAGGCAAAACCCAACCCTACATGCTCTGCAGCACTGAAGGAGAAGATCACTGGCCTGCTTCACTCAGTGTTGTGCTCATCAGCTGCTGATTGCAACTCCTGGTGAAAATCACTGCTGGTTCTAACCTGCATGCACCAGCCATACACAAAACCATCATCCACCTCAACATATTAGCAGTAAACAAATGAAGGGTTCATGATTACTCAGTATTTTGGGCAGGTATCACTTGCTGTGCTGATGGTTGGCTGTACGTTAATTCTGTATACACAATGGCTGTCAAGCAGGGAATCTAACTTCAATCAGAGTAATTCCTTGTTCAGGGACCAAATTAAGTATTGCATGATTCTCCCCTTGTCATCTTCTGGCTTTAAACTTAAAGAGGGCAACTTTAGGTTAGAGCTAAGGAAGAAGTTCTTCACAGTGAGGGTGGTGAGGCACTGGCATAGGTTGCCCAAGGAAGTTGTGAATGCTCCAACCCTGGAGGTGTTCAAGGCCAGGCTGGACAGAGCCTTGGGCGACATAGTTTAGTGTGTGGTGTCCTTGCTCATGGCAGGGGGGTTGGAACTAGATGATCTTAAGGTCCTTTCCAACTCTAACTATTCTATGATTCTATGATTCTCACTGCTTGCCATTTCTCACTCTTAGCAGATGACTGTGCATGAAACGCCACTCCAGCTGCAGCATCTTCAACATATGTATTTGGCAAGGAGATGCAAGCCACCTACCACTACAACAAGCAATTCTGGCTACAGCTTTTGCAGCTTCACCATCAGTTATGGTGAGGAACATCAGTAGGTATAAAGATACTAATAAGTAATTTTTGGAGGACTTTTAATAAGAGTGGCCTTCTGTGCAAAGCTGTAACACCTGGTGAGGGATCGTGTTGTGGCCCTGGGACAATCAACAGTAACTACTGGACAGAAGTTACCATTACGCTGTACAGGTATAAACACAATGCAAGAGCTGCCTTTTAATGCTAAACCTAATATAGGAGATTGGTTCTGTAGCAGAACCAGCCTGTCCCAACTTCCTCACCCATCACTCTCCCCTCCATTCAGCCTTCTCTCACTCATCTCTGACATGTGCTCTTCCCCATCCTCTTCCAGCTAACTGGCACTGTAGTAGGGCAGAACCTTGTGAGCAAAAAATCAGTGGAGATTTAGCCAGTGGAGATTTCACTCTAACCACTGAAAATGGGAAATCAAAAACTGAATATGTGCACTTATAACAAAAAGTGATGACAAACAAGACAAGTAAATCTACCTTCACATGCAAACATTTCCCTTTGGTTTGGGAAAGCTTAGCCCTTTCTCTTGATCACAAGCATCAAGGAAAACTGGGCTATAACTTGGCACAATTTGGACACCAGACAGTGACATCAGGGAAACTGCTGTACAGAAGAAGCCAAGCTGCTTTAATTCCTCAGAGGAGCCTAAAGTTGGTGAATGGAAAGAAAATCAAAAGGAAGTAATTTTTGATTCCGCACTAACCTGTATCTTACAGGACTTTGAAATAGTTTGTTTCTATTTTTAAACCCACTCATTTCATACCACACTTTTTAGAACATTCATTAAAAAAGAAACACATTTCAGTATTAATATTATACTGGAGTTGCATAAAAAGAGAGATCAGATGGTGTATATTACAACATTTAAGATTAAACAGGAAAAAAGTTCTAAACTCAGGGTCATTTAGCAACAAAGCAGAGATGTTGAGTTTAAAAAAATAAATAAATAAAAATCAAAGTACTTCTTTTTAAATACATATACCAACAGCTGCCCAGCAGCATTTCCTCAGAGCCTTGAGCTAAATCTTACAGCAATAACATGGTTGCATGGTAGTGAACACAAAGACACCCTATGTTAAAGGAAGTACTTCTCCCTCACAAACAAACGCTGTTCTGCCAGGCACTGAACTCTCACTCAGCAACAAATGCTGTTCAAAGTGTGCTGCTCATGGGGAAGAGCTACTAAGCTGCTGGAACCTAAAACTAAGTAAGAAATTCTTCTCCAATTGACATGTAGAGGTGAAAAACAAATAGGAACTCAAGCAATTTATCAAGAATTACCCAGTCTTTGGTATTTCCCTAAAGGCAAGTTTTATATTAAATGTCGATCATATTTTCTTTGGTAAGGAACAACAACTCACTGAAATTATCATGAATTGAAATGCTGTTTAGTTTAACTTCCTTCAGGATAGTCACCAGAGGTATGCAAGCAGACTAACCACAAGCTAACTCCATAGCTATTAATAGCTTCTCTGCAGGATTATCCAAGGTATTTTAAAGGCTCTTTGTACAGATGTCACTTCATTTTTTTTGGCTCCCATCCAAATTATGTCTTTACATCATTTTGCCTTGATTGTAAGACTTAAAGCCTGCAACATTTCCTTCATTGTTTGGGAAATGACAGGTTAGAGGAAACGCCAAAGATTGCTTTCATCCAAACGTATTGTCACAGAGAAATGCAGTTAAATAAAGATGACAGGGAAGTCAAATGGAAGGGAGGTGGTAAATTCTAAATGGTTTTTAATAACAGACTAGCAAAAAATTTCATTAGACAAGGGAAATAGTGTGAATTTTCAAAGAGCTTGTAAAGTGTAATTAATCACTGGCTCTACCACTTTTTCTTCCTTTTCACATCAAATACTGATCTCTGTTCAGCCTTAACTATACCAAGGCAAAAACATTAGTGCCTGTGTTTTATCCAGATTTTTCCCCAGAGCACCCTGATAGGTTATTTGACAGACTGACTGTATTTTAATTCATGTTCTAAGAAAACAAATTCCTACTTAGCCTTTTGCCTTTCAGGCAGTATTGTAATTGCTTGCCTTTCTAGAGGGAATGACATTTGTGTGCTCTGGCACAGAAGAATGGGAAATCCATTAGTTAGCACCTAATAGCCTACAACGTTATTTTAAAGCTTTGCAGCGTGTGCTACTGTCTCCTATGCACCAATGGATATTTTGACACCTCCTCAATTCATGCTTTTTGTGACCTTTTATCACAAAAATAGATCAAAACTGAGCTCCAGACACTAGTTGGAGCCACAGTTTGTATTCAGAAAGGCCATAATAAGGCTTAGAATATGCTATTCCATCTGGGGCTCATTAAGAATAATTTCCCCCTGTTTAGACTCCGAGATTAGCTTGAAACTTCCAAGGCTGTCAACTCCATTTTTTGCTTTTATACACTTAAAAAGAAGGTTAAATAGAGAAATGACAGGAAATTTGGGACCAAGTTGTGGTAAAACTCTACAGAAAGTAACGAGTGTGGTATATCACAGTTGTGATGTCACAAATAATACTGCCTGAATAAAGCCAAGACTCTACAATTTGCCACATTTGCATGGAATGGAGCCTGCAGGTTAGCAATGCTCATTTATCAGTCCTTACTGTACTCAAGATTTCTCAGAGCAACAAGCCACATTGTTTTAGCCTAGTGCCATTACACAGAAGTGTCTAGAACAAGACGACAACATGCCAAAAGACACAAATAACACGTCTTCCCAGGGATCTCCATCTGGACATTAACAGCACACAAATCTGTTGTCCACCTGAAGAGAACATTTTGGTAAAAGTACACAAGGTCAGTTGGATACATTTGCAAAATATTGGGTTTGTATGCAAATTGAAGTGCACTGTCAAACCTATGAAGCAATAACTTTGCGTAGCTAATGCCAGACACCACGTCTACCACTGCACATGACTAGTTCCCTATAACAGATGATGCAACTTCAAGATCTGCTTTTCATATTATCCATGACCGTGTACGTTTTTTGCCTTAGGATAACTTTATGATACTTTTAGACACAGTTATGACTTTTCAACAATGGTGCCAGCTCTTAGAAGACACCAGAAAGTATAGAAGCAAACCCAACCATGCAGATAACGTCACACGCAGACTTTGAAGGTGAGTTCTAAAGGGTTTAGTAAAGTCCTGCTACTTCTCTCAATAAGGAAGCACTTAACTCTTTATCTGAATCAGTTGGATAACAGGAAGATTATTTCTCATCAGCTTCCTAAAAAATTAAGTCAGAAACATGGTTCTTGTGACTCTCCTCCTAGCAGTGGATACTATTTAAAAAGTTACTTTATAGGCTTGTGCCCATTTCTATTGTATTATCTTCATCTCAGTTAGTTGCTTCTGCTTTAATTCTCATATATCAGAGGCTGCATAAATAACACCTCTACTATCTTAGTTAATCAGTGCATAAAGCAAACCTGTCAGGTTCTTAGCCACCATTTATGAAGATACTATTTAGGATTTTGCTTGGACACTGCCACAGTGATTACACAGAAGGAATAAATTTCCAGCAACTGCAGATCTTGACCAGAAAGAACTTTATTTCCAAAACCATTTTGTAAATATTTGTTAACAATCTGTTTCATGTAAAGCCTGTATGGAGATACATGCAAACATGCACACTTACCTGCAGTAAAAAGAGATTACATCATAGCTTATATATTTCTACTCTACCAGTCCACCCATACTACTAACATAAACATCAAATCACAGTTTCTTCCATGGAAGAATTATCCTCCATTTGTCCTAAGCACTGAAATATGAAGAACAGGTGTTTGGAATTAATTCCAAATGAGAAATGCAGCTTTTTGGCATGGAAACAGCTTAGCAAATGGAGAAGGCTGAAATGTGGAGATTTGTTGGCCTGTTTCAGTGTTTATTTGCAGCAATAAGACACTTACGGGTCACACTGTTAAATAATAACCAATAGTGGAGATGGAAGTGACCACATTAAAATAGTCAGAGCACAGGTCAGGTCAGAACATACACGGGTAAGATCCTTAAAAGTCTCAGTACTAGTTTGTAACAGCTCTGTTGATACACAGAGAAAATCTTTCTTTGCCTCAAAGGAATTCTTTTAAAATTAGAATGAATGAGTTAGATCAATGCTAAATATGGTGCTAAATGCTGGAAGAGTTAGGACTTGATTTTGTGTCCTCTAAACCCACACAGGACAAAGATTTGACTTCACTGCTTACATTCATTGCTTTGTTCAGATCTTTCATCACCGCTGTTCACAGGGTATTTTTTGAAGGTCCTCTGTATCAGCCAGAGTTTGAGTATTGACATGTTGGACATGCCACAATAGGGACAAACAAAACGTTAGACTCCTCTCTGGTAGTTTTTAAAACTAGAAAACATGTCATGCATTGTGGCTGAAAAATCATTAGGATTAAGACTGCCAGTGTATTACATGTGAAGAACCAGTACCAATAGAGCACAACACAAAAATCCCCACAAAACACAGAACAAACAGGAAAAAAACCCAAAACCTAAAAGCCAAAAGCACAGAACAATAGTCCCTTTAACTTAACCTCTTGAACTTTACCATTAGGCTTGCTGTTCAATTGTTGTTACTATGTTTTAGCCTGCTTGCCGCCTTCTTTGAGCTTACCAACAATGCCCAAGAAGTCAAACATTCTTCAGAGAGAGAAAATACAATGATAAGTAACAATAATAAAAAAGAAATAAAGCGCATTGGGCAGCGGATGTGGATGGCATCGGGAGCCAGGCACCATTCCCACCTCTTCCACTCACCTACCATGTAATTAAGGGCAAATCTTTCCACCACTCTAAACAACCCTGTTCTCTGTCTGCTGTCTCCTGAAATTATGTTTTTGTTGGCAGCCTGAAGAACAATATTTTTATATCCTCATACATACATATATACATGTGTGTATGTCTGTGTGTATATATACACACTGCATGGCACAGGATGGCTTCATTTAGAGGCTATAAAGAATAATAATCATAACCTGTTGTAGTTTAAATAATAAAATAGGAAATAGTGTTAGCAGAGGGTTTTTTAGACTACTATTACTGTTAAATGAAAGCATTTCCACTCTACCCCTAAAATCCCACCAAAACCATGGGAAGCGAAACCTCCCAGGTCCAAAACACACAGAATGGATCCAAATGAACTAAGTCTCTTTGCCAACATATTTGTAGTCATACCATAATAAGTACCACCATCCCTGGATTTTATTTCATAAAGATGCTGATGAGCCTAAAACAACCACATGGAACTCACACAGGAAATTTTTAGAGCAAAAGAACACATAATTGTCAACGTAGGAACACTTCTCAGATAACAGTCATTTAATTTGTAATCTCTCAGTCCTGATCCTTGAGGAAAAGCTACTTAACATCTTCCAAGGACTAGCCTTAGAAGTCAGACTGACAAGTGGATACAAGACAAGTGGATAAATGAGATCTAATGATAGTAGTTTTATGGCACTTTGTGACCTCTCCTCCCTTCTTTCTTCACCTTAGGGACACAAGTTTTTCCCCATAGGACAATATACTACAGTCTCTTTGCCATCCTGCACCTTTCTTCCCTTCCAGTCTCTTTCCCCAAATCTACCTTACTTTTCAGAGATGAACTGACTTTTCTTTAGCTTTCAGATCTATTGCATCTATTTCAGGGACTGAAAAGGAGCTCGAATGTCTGAATCCTCCTTCAATTTTTCCAGGTATGCTGACATGTCGAACAAAGGTGTTAGATTTATCTACAAAGTCCATCTCAGCTGTGTCCTTCAATCACCAGAGTTACCCCAAACCAACTGTACTTGTTTGGTTTTCTTTTTAAATAGAAGGGTATATGGTATGACCCAGATTTTTTCAGACCTGAGTTTTTACCTGTACCCCCTTTGCCTAGTGCTTCTTAACAATAGGTTTGGGGCTTTCAGAGGCTGTTGAACAATGAGCTGGTTCCTGGATTATGTATCATCCATAGCACTCACCTTTCCACCCTCATCAAATTTTCCCACATGAAAAAACCATTCTCGAGAACAGAACCAGGTTGGCATGACCACAGTAGGTCCATGGGAGGTAAACACCTAGGGAAAAGGGGGAAAAAAGCCAGTCAGTTACCAGTTACAAACCAGTTGGGTTTGTTACCCAGCATCTGTTGGGGAACAAAGTAGACCTATTGCATTCACCTAAAATCCTCACAATACTCATGCCTAAACTTAACCTTCAGCAATATTAAGAACTGAGAAATTCAAGTGCTTAGTATTTAGCATGTGCTTAGTGTTTAAACTGAGGTGTAAACCAGCACCTTTGAGGTGTCACAGCCAAGAGATTCATCCACTTCCTGCTTTATTAAATCCTAGGTGGAAGTTCTTCCCTGTGAGGGTGCTGAGGTGCTGGCACAGGGTGCCCAGAGAAGCTGTGGCTGCCCCATCCCTGGCAGTGTTCAAGGCCAGGTTGGACACAGGGGCTTGGAGCAACCTGCTCTAGTGGAAGGTGTCCCTGCCTGTGGCAGGGGGTTGGAGCTGGATAATATTTAAGGTCGTTCCAAACCCAAACCATTCTATGATTAACATTCCATAACCTTCTCTTCTATCATAAGCTGCAGCACATGCAGAGTACTTCAAACTTTATTTCAAATTTAGAGAATTATACTGGAAATGACACTTCTATTAATAATGGCAATAGTGATACTGAAGTCAAAGAATTAAGAAGTATCTTACAAAGTTAAAGTTCTTAAGCATAACCCAGATGAACCTCGAGATCTTCCAACCTGGTATTCTACGATTCTTTATACATTTATTGAGTAGGAACTTTCATTGATCTTTTATTTCTGCCAAAGACACTTAAATCTTAATCAAGCTCAGACAAGTAAGATGCAATTTATTTTAAACATCACCAAAACATTATGGATTTGCTTGCTACCCAGTGGTACCTACCTTAAAAGGCTGTTGGAAAGAAAATGCTTTAGGGACTGAAAAGAGAGATGCTATTAATTACATCCCCTTGACTAGTGACAGCTAAGAGCTATACAAACTGGTCTTTGCAGCTTTAAACAAATGTGTTGTAAACACAACTGTGAAATGAACCAGAATCTGGATTAGGGAAGGTAAACTGGTTCTTTCTTGTGTTCCCAGATGAAGTATCTGGCCAAACAAGAGACTGAACTTGTCAAACAGAATGTGTGCAGTTAAGCCAGAAGACTCTGCCTGCTTCCAAAAACTACAGAAGAAATAAAGAGCTTCTGCCTTCATGAGGGCAGAAGAACCCTCACAATTACTGCCAGTCTCCAAACACTAATGAAAATGCTCATCTTACGAGCAGGTGATTTCGTGTCATGCTCTGGTGGTAATATTACTATTCCTGTGTAGCTGACAGTTTTAAACAGCAGCACATGAATGTACATTTTGACATATGCATCTAAGCATTTACATTTTAAAGCTGCTCCTCTTGACTTTAACCTGGGATGGAAATCTTTAAACTCTTCTTATGCATGGCAACTTCCATTTCCACAGATAAACACGGATTTAAACCCCAGATTTTACACACCCAGTTGTATGTAGACCAACTCTCCAAACAAATGGGATTAGAAATGTAATCAAAATACAACTGATCTACTCCCACTTTACTTATTGCATGAACCATCTGACCAGATGCAGGCATCCACGTTAAGGTGAAGACACTGCATGCTAACCCCAGGAACATAATGATAGAACTTCCCTGTCCATAAAGGGCTCATTGGGTGACTCATCTTGACACAGACTCTTAAATTTTGGGCAGTCATATTTAGTCAGAAGAATCCAATCACTTAATGGCTACGATTAACACATTATCAGCTTGCCCATAACTGAAATAACACTACATTCAGAGGTGCTAAATGTCAAAATCTCCCCCCAAAAGTCAGTGGGAGCTGAAAGAGACAAAAAACCAATCCAGAAAATTAGAGCAAACATGATTACTCAGCACATGGTTATTAGCTCCACACTAATTACAAGGGTGGTTGAGTACGGCCTGAACCAAACAATGACCAAACAGTAATCCCAAAAGAAAACAACGGTAGGGAGAAAAGCGAGGCTGGAATGCATTGCACTGAATCTCATTTCTGAATGAAAGACAATCTTCAAAAGAAAAGTCTTGAGCCTATTGGCACACGTAAAATGCATTTGGAGAGGCTAGAATGCTATTCCTCAGTGCAGCCAGGTTCATCAGAGAACAGAAATGCACTTAAAGATGTAGCTCAATGTAATTGGTCACGCTCACATGTAATGAGCGTACACCCCAAATATCTTAGATAATGTCTGTTCCATTGATTTATGTACTTAGGCCAAACCAAAGAGAAGAAGAAGAAATTTCAAACACTAAGAAAACAAAAAACCCAAGCCATCAAAATGGCACTTCTGTTAACACAGATAGTGACAGGGTGATTATGATCATCCTGTCACGCGCTGCATACACTGATGTATTTCCCTGATTTGGTGTTCTATGGCTCACTGTCCCCTCCAGAAAAGATATTAAAGGGGAATCACACAGCCAAAATTGAGACTGATGATGACACGTATGATTCCAGGGTCTTATCATTCCAGAAAGTGTTTGAACCTGGAACACTGCACCAACTAAGAGTCAATGAGTTGGTAAATGAGCTTACTCTAGATAAGTATAATGCAATGTCAAAATAAACTTTAGGAAATTTAAATTGGTGCTGCAAATGGACAATTTAATGGTGCCTTGTCCCTTGCTATGGAACATTAATAACATCTGTGAAGCTGAAATTCTTTTTTAATTTGTTAGCTTAGTTTTCATCTGGATCTGCTCCCTGATCCAACTAACCACAAACACACTGGTGTTACCACAACGGAGGACGTAGGAAAACAGGGCACCAAACACAGAGAAAACGGCAAGAGTGTTCTTTCAGCAGCAGTACAGATAATCCATAAATAATCTTTAACCTGGTAGGGGAATTGTATGCTGAAAGTGTATGTTTACAGCATCTCTATTAATTTAAGAGCTTTCCCATTCATCCTGCCTTTGGCTGTGCACCCCAGTCACTTATACACGCATTGGCACTCACCTGACCCCATGGTCAGCTGGATCTGAGCACTACAGCAGGAAGCAAGCTATTAAGTTATTTTAGTGTTAGTTTTCTACAGCCTTAGTTCTCTGAATTGGTTCAGTGTGGGGTCAGGCTAGCAATACTGCTGACATACTGGAGGGGGAAGGAACAAGCTTTGGAGAGGAAAACAAGACCTGCCTTTTTGGTCGTTGCCCTGTTAATCAGTCCAGCTGTGACATTAAACTGCACCCTCTGCCTGAACACTTCCACTGATGGGAGGAGAACTGGCTGAGGAAAAACAGTGAACTCCTAAGAACTGTCCTGAAACACTTCAAGCACCTGCCAAACTTCTGAAAACCACCTTCAGGAGCTTTTGAAATTTCATCTTAGACAGAAAGAAAAATAACCTCAACCTCTGCCGTTTGGAAAGTCTAGATTTCAGCTTGGTTTAGTCAGATGGGAAAGTCTCCTCTGGGTTTCTTTTTTGCCTACTCCTGTCATACACTCTTGCCAAGGTGTTAAAAAAATGGTTGAACTGGCTTAGTCTGTGATTAAAACCACAACTTCTCCCTTTGTGAGATTGTCACTCAAGATTTTATCCATACATCTGCATGGACTGGAACAAGAGAAACAAAAAGGATATGCTAGCCTTAGTCTGAAAATCAATCATAAGTAGAGTAGGAATTACGATGCAGCTCCATAACTGCTATGGTTGCTTGGAAAAGTTCTCCAGCTCTGCCTAACAAATGTCCTGTATCACCTTGGAACCTCAGAGGGTTTTCAATCCTACTCAGGGCATTAATTCAGCATATTGCAAAGCAGCTTGAACCCGTGAACCTTTCACACACAGCTGTATTGGAAGAGTAATGCTTAATAATAGTTGTTATTAATTACAGTACACTGTGAAGATTATCTAAATATAATCTAGTTGAATGAAACCAACTTGTTAAAAAACAACTACAGAGTTTGTAGATAAAGGTATATGTCTGTTCAGACTCAGAATTCCTGAAGATCACACTGTTGTCATAACCAAACCAGAATCTATCTTCATCAGACCCAGGTGATGGAGCCAGGCTGCTACTTCAGGACTGTAGTTGCTAAATTATTTGGAACTTTATTGTGATCTGGTTTTATTCCAAGGATCAAGTAGCAAGTAACTGAAACTGATTTATTCTGGCTTGTTCTTACTAACTGTTTGGCTATTGAATTACATTCAACTATTACAGAGATTCTCTGAAAATAAATCTAGAGAATATAAAGAGTTGATAAAATGACTTTCCTTTGTTGTGTTCCAAAGCTGTCAACAGCACATGTAATTCTGGTCCCCACTGATGCTCACTTCAGATCATGTCAGCATTCGATAAGAAATGTAAGTTCCAATACTGACAAAGGCATTCATGTGTTTGTAGTAACTCTTCAAGGAAAGTTCTATTTCCTGAAGCAGCAAATCAAAATCTAACAGCCATGTGCCAAAAGAATACATGCAGATGGTGAAACAACCTTACCACACTATGTCATGCACAGTACAGAGGGGAAACCAGGCAGTTCACCAGAGCAACACAGTTAATCAAGGGCCCAGACTGCTTTCCAATGTAACAAGCTAATTCCCCAAAACACATTACACATTTCATTCTACTTACGCTATAGCAGTTATGAAAATTATATCCACACAGTTCAAGGATCAGAAACAATCTCCTATGTTATGATGAATAAAGCTTTCCTATACACGGGTAACACATTAACATGTTAGAGAAAAAGCACACGGCAAGGGCCACAGGGATTTAGCGAGCTGCAGGCAGACCACAGGCTAAAGGACACCACTCCTCACTTAGAAAAAATTATATGCTAAAACACCAGTGTATTAATTCAGCAGGGAATGTACCAGGCCCACATTCCTAAAGATAACCAGGCTTACATCCAGAATCAGGTGTGTCTATTAGCATGACAGAAGAGATATGGAAGGTAGGAAAGAGAAGACAAGACTCCTGATCCTACTTCAAAAAAAAGCCTTCATATTAAAAGAAAAAAAGAAAACCA